GTTACTTTAATATTTATCTCACTACTATAAACAATTTTTTCATTAAAGAGCTTCTTAAAATTTAAATTGTCTTCCGTCTCTTGTTGGAATAGGTGGATAAATGTGTCTTATAACATTTTCTATCTTGTAAAAGTTAGTAAAAAAAAAAAAAATCACTAATTTTAACTGTGCAAAATTAAAATTAGTATATTAACATCAATGTAAATACAACTCATACTTAAGCAACATTTCCTTAAATCTAATAATTTTAAAAATCCAGGAATAAATTAAATTTAAAAAAAAAGAAACTCTAAAAATGTTTCTATTTTTTCTATATAACATAGGGAAAAAATGGAAAATAAATGTAGAAAAGTTCACAATTTTTAAATACAATAAATAAAAAAATCTATTAAAAAATGTGTTACTGTACATTAAAAGAAAAAAAGACTATTTTTTTACTATATTCACAACAATTTTTTCTACGAAAAAAAAATGATCGGGTAGAATAATTTTATTGCTATATTTATCACCTACCTAAAATTAATCATTTCATAGTTTTTACAATCTATTTGATTTGATGTATCAATGCAGACAATATTAATCACAATACGTTTTACTTGTATTTAGTGGCGTATCAAGCGGGGGATTAGAAAGACAATCCCCAGTTATGGCCTTAAAAAAGTGCTAAATACATTAAAGTAATTAAAAATGAATTCGAGAATAATTTATTTCCTCTCTTTTAAATACCCCACCCCCTAGTTTCAGTTCCTAATTAGGACCCAATAGTTTATCCTATTTACCTAAGAATTTAATAGGACGTGTATTATTATTGTAGTTGGCTTTGCATGTAAGCTTATAACTTTTTAAATAATTTTTTGCAAATTGGCAAGACAATAAGAAACAGCAAACACTTATCCTTAAATCGAAAACAAACATCTTAAAAGTGTTATAAAAAATACATGCATTAGTAATGTACACTGTTCAAACTTAAGCCAAATCAGATTAATGTTCTTACGTTGTCCAGTTACATTGGTTTAAAGCTGTGAAATCTTATTTAATGTAAAATTTAATTTATGAAATCAGTTTTACAGAATTTTAACTTATAACAATCCCAAAAAATACCTTAAGTCTAACATTATATCATTCATACTTATTATTATGTCAGGAGGTACAAAAAGTTTTTCCCCAGTGCTGTAAGCCTTAACAACACCTTTGTTTGTATGAGCAAGGTTTGGTACTTTACATCTGAATGTATATAGCAACCCTTTAGCAATTATTACTGCTAACCTTAGTATAAACATGTACTTAACCTCAAGTGTTTTTGAATACAGGACCAAGTCGCGTTGTCGACCACCCAAAAAATTATATATATATAAACTGCTGTTTGTAGAAAATGCAACACCATGAAGGAATCATCAGAATCAAATGAAATTCGCAGCAAATGTCAATTATAGGATATTATGCAAATTAATAAAGTTTCAGAGCCATCGCGCGTGCGTGGCGCGCGCAGCGCCCTCTGAATTGATGCTGAAAGCGTATAAATAAAGTGCTGTAGCGGGACGTTGAAAATAGTCTATGATTATTTGTTAGTGGCAAACGTTTAGTGAGACCTGAGTATGCCTCCACGACGGAAGAATAAGAAATTCAAGCAACTTACGGAGTTTGAACGAGGGAGGATAATCGGCCTTCGAGAAGGAGGATTTTCCTATCGCGCTATAGCAGCTCGTATGCAGCGGAACAGTTCCACAGTGATGCGAGTTTGGACCGACGAGCACCGAACAACTCGAAAAACAGGCACTGGACGACAGAAGGTGACGTCAGAGCGCGATGATCGACACCTGCTGCGCATGGCGGTGAATGATCGCACAGCTTCCTCCAGGCAGCTGGCAGCACATTGGTCTACTGCTACAGGTGTACAATTGTCGGCTTCGTCAATTCGTCGTCGTCTGCTGCGCCGTGGATTGCGTGCAAGGGTGCCATTATACAGGATTCCCCTCACGGCGGATCATCGACGGCTGCGTCGGCAGTGGGCTCTTGAGCACAGAGACTGGCGAGCTGATTGGCACCAAGTTGTCTTTTCAGATGAATCACGCTTCAATTTGTGGACCCATGATGGCCGTGTTCGTGTTAGACGTTATGCCGGTCAACGCTGCCTTCCTGAGTGTATTATTGAACGACATAGTGGTCGAACACCCGGAGTTATGGTCTGGGGTGCGATTTCGTATCATGGACGATCCAATTTGATACGAATTGAGGGTAATCTCAATAGCAACAGATACGTCCGTGAAGTGCTACAGCCCGAAGTCGTTCCTTTCCTTCAAGGCATCCCTGGAGCTATCTTTCAGCAGGATAATGCACGCCCACATGTTGAGCGGACTGTTAGAGACTTCTGTTCAGCACAACGCATGCAACTTCTTCCTTGGCCTGCTTATTCGCCGGATATGTCGCCTATTGAGCACGTGTGGGATATGGTTGGTCGGCGTCTCACTCGTGATCCGCGTCCTGCAGTTTCCAAAGACGAACTTTGGTTGCGCATACAAGCGATATGGAATTCTCTTCCTCAAGCAGATATTCAACATCTGTTTGACTCCATGCCAGGTCGTATAGCAGCACTTATTGCAGCGCGTGGTGGCTGCACCAAATACTGATTTCGGACGCTTAATTTGTTTCTTTTGTTTTGAAAATTTCATCATTTATTTGTATCAGTACAAGTCGTTTCTGCATTAAATTTCATTTGATTCTGATGATTCTTTCATGGTGTTGCATTTTCTACAAACAGCAGTTTATATATATATATGTATGAAAAAATAAATAACTACTAAGCATTCCGGAGATGAAAAAAAAAATTTTGCTCTAAATATGTACACTTTTCAAGCTCTTCTAAGTGAAATGATTGATTAAAAAATTTCTAAATGAGGCTGTTTCTCAAAAAATTGAAACTGAGTCGCTTACCTCAAAATAAATTTTAAAAAAATTAATTAATCAATTTTAAAATTAATTAATTAATCAATTTTAAAATTAATTAATTAATCAATTTTAAAATTAATGAATTAATCAATTTTAAAATCATAATATAAATAACTATGAACAGTTACATAGTTAAGCAGATTATATATTTATGCAGATTTTATAAGGCTACCGAGCCCCGTGGCAGAATCGCAGCGACACGGCGACATTGTCGCAGAGTGTTACAAAATTCTTGCAGAAAGATTTTTCTTTGGAAAAGCAAAAAAATTTCTTTTCTGCAGAAATTTACACGTAATATTTGAATCATGCATTTCAATAATCACTTTTTGACACGCTCAATTTACGCCAATAGTATCATAAATCTGTGTAATATTTCGATGGTATTTTCGGCATTCAGGAATATTGATTTTCATGTTTTTAAAATATCCCAATACATTTTAAGCAATATGGAAAATTCCAATCGTGCATTTGAGTATTTACTCTTTAAGGTAATAATTGTGTCGAATTTTCGACAGATATTTCTATTGATTTTTCCTTAGTTTTTAATCCGACATTTTAATACGATATTATTAATTACAACAACCTAATCTTGAAGCGAAACTGGCATTTGAGGTGTTCGATTTACATGATTCTTTCTTTCGGCAATTGCTACAATGGATTTCATGGCTTTAAATTATTTTCTTTATTGTGATGATTATTTACAAAAAGCGAAGAAGGAAATAATGAGTGCGATTATCTCTCAATAAAATTCAAGAATATCACCCATAATATTAGAATAAAGAACTATTACATGTTCAATTAATATATATATATGTATATATTATGTTTTTTTTATAAACACAGAGCTTTTGTTATTTCAAATTAGTAATATATATGCATGTTATTATTAAAAATATCTTGCAGAAAATATTAGTGCTGAAGAGTTCAGTCGCAGATAGCTCAGAAAAATTTTGTTACAGGGCTACTGAGGTGAAATACAATAGTCCAAAATCAACCTAAAAGAATATTTAGCCATATAAGTTTCATTCACATTTCACTTCATTAAAAAAATATGAGATGAAAACCAATGTAAGGAAAAGGAAAGCAGTGGTGCCGATCGTAAATAGTGTCAGTCATAAAAATAGTTGTAAATTTACAATAAAGATATTTATTATTTTCAAAATCAAAATAAGTCTACAAAAGCGAAACTTGTATAGTCTTGTATTGATCTTGCTTTAAACTGAAAAAGTAATTTTATTATGTTAAATAATAGTGGTACAGTACAATTAATTATGTATTTAGATGTAGAGAATAAAATATCAAAAGTGCATCTTGGGAATTTTTTTGTAACTCAATTTGTGAAAAGTTTCTGCACATTTGTACAAAATAACCTGTTTTAATACAGTTTACCTTAATTATTATTTAATTTTCTATTATTAATGTGATTTAAAAACAAAAATTGCACTTAGATTTATTTGTGGTGACTAAAAATTTAAAATGATGTATCCATTCATTGAACAGCCTATAGCTTAGTGAAAACTGATATTAATAAGTTAAAAGTTATAATTTCTAACTAATCAGTTTAAAATTTTGGTCATCTGGTTGACTTTACAGTGAAATTGCCTATTAGTTGTTATGATCGCATAAAGAAGTTAAATGAAGTGACTTTTTATATAAAATTTCAATTTATAGATTTAACAGAAGCAGATTATTACAACAAATAGTAAAACCTAACTACAGAAAGACAAAAGTGTCTCCTTTACATAATCAATAAAAGTAATGAGCAATCTAAGGAGAGATTTCCATATCATGATCTGTGGCAGAATAACCACCAAGTCTTGGCAACTTCCGGGCAGCGGCCCACGAGAAACAAAAACAAAACAAAAAAACCATTAAAGAAAAAGACTAACTCAAAAAGTATAAACTGTAGATACCCCCAGGCAAACATTTAGGTGTTTTTTTTTTTTTTTTTAAATTTGCAAATCTAAAATTTGGCACTTTGGCGATGGTAGTTGACGTGACAGATCACAGCACAGAAATATTCCCCAATCTAAATAAATAGAAGAGCTACTTACAAGAGTAAATTGGTTGTAACAGGCAATTTTTAAAGAGTCCTCTTTAGTCTGAAATATAAACATCGCCAAACATTAACAAAAATCAAAATGAAAGCTTTTTTAAGTTAAAATTACTCCTTTTTATGCATCGATAATGTAATATTAATTTTGAGTCAAATAGATTTTTTCTCCTCAAAAAAACTTAATAATAACTTTTGATTATCCGTTGGCAAACTAAGTTTAATATTTAAGTTTGCTAGAAATATAATTTTTGAAATTAAAAAATTTATTTTCGAAAGCTCACAAACTAAGTTTTTTTTTTTAAGAATAGAAATAACACTTTTCCCCATTATATTTAGCTGTGTTGTAACTTAAAAAATTATTTTAAAATTTACTAAAATAGAAAATAACTATTGATTACATCTAAGAAAATTTTTAATTACTAGTAAAATTGATTATAACACATAGCACACAAAATTCGACATACAAGTTTTATCCATTTATATTCTATCAAATATTACTTGAACGTCAAACTAAAAGCGACTTTTTGGCGCTGATCTCGACTAGGAATTCTTGCTTGTGTTAGAATAATAAATGCTGCAGTGTTTATTAAACGAAAGATGACTGCATATGCAGGCTTTCTTTCGACACGGAGATTTGTGTAATGTTTTAAAAATGTTATATTCAAAACATAAGTTATTAGAAGATTAGATCGTTAATTTAAAAAAAAATCATTTATGAATAACGCAAGATAATAACAGTATTAATAATTTGTCCATGACAGCCCCAATCTAGTAGCCGGGGCTTCGTAAAATTTTTCAACGAACATTGCACTACTACACTGAGATATGTAGTAAAAATATGTGATCTGAAGAAATAAAAACACTGAAATTATAATACCCCATTAATCCCATAATTAAAAGAAATAATTTTACAAAAACTTACTCGAGACCAGCTTGCGAGAGAGTGATTAGTTTCGTCAGACCCTGACTCCAGAATAACACTCAGGCATGCGCCTTGAAGATCTGTTGGCGTTTATCAAAATACTTTGTTTATTTGTCAAAATACTTTGATCAAAGTAAGCGAGTGTATCAGTAAGGAAACATTTATATAGAAATGTGACGATGTAAAACAAATTGGTTTTTGCTTACAAGAATTAAATTCTGCAGCAAGTTTCAAGAAATCTAAACGTGCTATTTGCCATGAGAGTATTGGTCATAGAAAAAGACGGTAGAAAGATCAATCACTTCACCAAACGGAAGTCACGGTAAACTTTGACATCACTGGTAACTAGCTCTACTCTATATCCACGCCCTCTAGAGAGCAGTTTGTTCAAGTAAAATTTCATTGAAGTTGTGTCTTTATAGCAGCTGTACAGTCACTCGAAAAAATAGCTGAGCA